GGCTCCGACAGTGCTGCGCTACGGACAGCGTTCACGTTCGTGGCCAGTTTGCCGGCGGGGAGACCTGCTATGACATGCGGCTATTTCCCGACCAAGAAGGGAGCGTTTCAGATGACTAGTGCAGGCCGGCTATCTCCTCAGGTGCATCTCGCTTTACAACACCTTATCAAAAAACATCTTCTGCATCGAGAATGTAGTTCCTGTTAGGTTAGCCAAAAGTCTTCACGAGCTACCTCTGGTGGCTTACGCCGCCAGCTGCGCAGTGGACGACTATGAGAACGGTGTAAATCCCAGATTTCATTATTATGAAGCACAGGGCACCGCTTTTAACATTCACAATGCAATTGGATCAGTACATTCAAGAATCATCGAATGCCTGGAGCCCACCAAACCTCAAGCGGGCTTCGACCAGGATATGACAAAGTTTGAGGAATTGGCGGATCTACCGACGCAGGACGGAACCGCAAGAGAAGTCCCAGAAGCCGAACCGCCACAGGAGGATGGACGGCTACCCACGACATGAGGAATCGGAGGCCGACCTCGAGGCACATATTATGGAAGTGTGGTATGCAGAACTACAAGGCGGAAGGGAACTACTGGAGGCAACTCCACTAGAGGACATTTTCGCAGCACCCACACATGATTCCAGACAGCAGTGCGCTGATCACTATTGCTAAAGAAAAGCGGGGGCACCTGCCTCAGTGGGGGCGCCCACGCGATTCCGACATCGAGGAAACATAGCATGTCTCATTGTGCTCCACGATCGAAGATAGCAGTTATGGACTGGACTCAGACGAACACTGGCGGTATGTAGAACTCTGCTCTACGGCAGATATGCCAAAGGTAGTCCTATCCGAACAACAGGGCAGAATATTAGGTGCCGGCCGTGTTACCACCATGCGAATATATATATATATATATATATATATATATAGGATGCCGCCGCTGCAAAGCGAGCTGCGGTCGTGAAAAGGAGACGACCTTCTCGCGAAGGCGGGCGTCAAGGCGAAATCCGAAAGAGTGTCGAAAGCTCATGCACTAGACACTGAACTCAAGACATGGTTTGACAACAGGGGCTCTACAATGCAAGATGTATGTAAAACGTCAAACATCATGACTTCGAGGCACGCGCACAAATGGAAGTTCGTGAAGAACGAGAAGGGCGAGATGGAACGCACCATCAGGTTACGCCTAGTGCTCCGAGGCTTCATGGACCACGAAGCCTTCGACGTGGAAACCTTCTGGGGAACAGCACGGCGGCCAATCCAGAGACTGCTCGCGAGCACGGAAGCGTGCAAGAAGCAATGGGTCATTGTTTCCCTCGACATCAAAATGGCCTTCCTGAAAGGGTTTACCTACCAGGAACTTGCTGAGGCAACTGGCGAGAACGCGTGGCGTGCTTTACTCTGCCGCCTGGATCGGCTACGGCGCTTCGAACTGACCCAGGATTCGAGCGCGACGACGAGTCGAAGCACTGCCTGCAGTGCCTCGAGCCAGGTACTGGCACCAAGGACGCACCTCGAGCTCGCCCACTAAAGTTCAGAAGGATCACAAGAGGCTTCGGCCTCAGACCCACGTCCTGCGACGACGAGTTCGAGGCGAGCAGCAACCTGCTCTCGGCCAAACATGTTGATGACATCAATATGACAGACGCAGAGGGCGCCATTGACAAGTGCGCCAAGCGCGTGGAGGACACCTTTGGCACGTGTAAACTCCACAAGCACACATGCACAATTGGGCTGTGATATATATATATATATATATATATATATATATATATATACCAACGATGAGGACGGCATTGTTACGTTGGACCGAGACAAATACACCAAGCAGCTCCGTCCTATACAACACCTTGACCTTACAGGCGCCGGCGCTGACGCCCAAGCACCCAAGATGGTTGCAGACATGTTCGTCAGCCTCAGAGGCGCAGTGGCGCATGCATCAATCACCCAGGCGTGGTTGATGGTATATGTTGTCTCTCTACAACGTGCCCAAGAAACGACCAACATGCAAGTGCGACGACTGAACGCGATCACCAGGAAACTGCAGGCCTGCCCTAAGAAGACCGTCACCGAGCGATGACTCCCACGGGCGAAGTTGACCTGCACGGCGACTCACGTTATCGACGCCTGAGTGGATTGGTATTCGCGGGGCAAACCTGCTACGGCATGGAAGCACGCCACCTGGCAAGCCTGTCGTTCACTTGCTGAGCCTGGTTTTAAGTCCTTGTCAAGCAAAGATTTGAAGAAGCCGACTGAGTGTACTCTTTTAGGACACATCAGCTGGATGCGACAGATGATGGAGCGAGGAATCGTGCACAGTGTTCAAGAGTGTAACACCCGCGATATGACCGCGCACGGTCACACCAAGGGGAGCATCGACCGAGAAATGCTCCTACAGGTCATAAGACGTACGCAACCCTTCACGCATGATTTAAAGCGTCATGCTCCTTATCGGGCTGGCCAGACATCTCGGTCTGCAGCCGCCTGAGGAGTACTCGCATGCACAGTAAGGCGCAGGCAAGGCAACTTGCGCGCGGGTCCACCTTCCTTATGGCCCCGCCCTTTTGCTGCCCTTTGGTACATAGTAGCTGCTGTGCCTGCTGCATAGAAGCGGCGGGCTCCCGCTTCGCCCCCTTCCCCCCGATTCTAAAGTGAGCTGGGAGACATGCGAGAGGTCACGAGCGTGTGTCCGCGGCCGTTTGTGCTCCAGCGGCCGCCCGCCCAAATCTGATTACACCTCACTGCGAGGTGTGCCATTTCGCCATCGAGACCGAAAACATCCTTCGCTTGAGATGGCCCGTCGCTCCCGCGACGACCTCCTACTACTGGGACTATCGTTACTACGATACAACAGAGGTGGAGCTGGGTTTCGCCTGGGGCGAAACTGCTGGTTGGGCCTTCCAACCATTTTCAAACTTGGGGAGGCCGTCTTGGGGCACTTTTGGGCCGTCTTGGGCGGTCGGAAGCTCGAAAAGGCGGTAAGACCAAAATCGGTCAGAAACCTTAGCAACATCATTGAGTCTTGCCTTTTCGGGCCCCCTTGGGGTCGTCTTGGAGCCCTCGTGGGGCGTCTTGGGCACTTCTTTGGCCGCCTTGAGACCAACTTGGTTCGACTTGTGCACTCCGTTGGCCTCCGAGGCTGCGCCCAGGAGTTCCTACATCTCTGACCCGGACCTGCCCGGACCTGGCTGTGGCTGGGGACCCCCAGGGGCCGCCACGCGCGCGCGAATCAGAAACATTTTCAAATTCGCACCAGAGATGTTAGCACGCGTGTTGCCCGTTGGGCTGGCGAATTATGAAATTTGGTGATGATAATGTTGATTATGATGTTAATGATGATGCTGCTGTTGATGATGCTGGTGCTGGTGCTGCGGATTATGATGACGATGATGATGCTGATGATGATGAGGAGGAGGAGGAGCAGCAGCAGCAGCAGCAGGAGCAGGATGTGGAAGAGGAAGGCCGTCACATGTTACGCCATTCGTTTCCACCATATGATGAGCTGTTCATGAAACTCTTCTGGGCCGTCTTGAGCCTGCCTTGGCCTCTTGTGATGCAATTTTGGGGTCCCTTGGGGCCCTGTTGATCTTTCTTGGGGCCCTCTTATGCCGATGTGGGACTCTTGGGCCGTCTTGGCGCGGTCTTGTCCGTATGGTGGGAGTCAGGAGGCCGTCGTGGGCCGCTTGGGCAATCAAAAGGCCTTCTTACGCAGTATTGGGTCCCGCGGGAGGCCGTCTTAGATGCCTGGCCATCTTGGGAGGGACGCTGTACCATCTTAGCACACTCTTGAGGGTATCTTGGCCCGTCTTGGGGCCATCGTGGAGCCATCTTGCGCCGTCTTGAGCTGACGGAAACCCAAAAAGGCGAGATTGTGAAAATCATTCAAACAACCGTGGGAAAACAATGTCAAACAACCGAGGGGAAGAAATGATGTTGGCTTCTTCGGACCCTGTTGGAGGTCCTCTTGCGGCCCTTCTGGGCAGTCTTGGAGGCACCTTGGGCCCTTATGAGGCATCTTGGACCACATTGTTGTCCTTGGCTGCCTGCATGGACATTCTTTGAAGTTCGGGACGCGGATCCATCGTTTTAAACAAAGGATTGTTGCTTCGGGAACGCAGACCCGTTGTTCTTTGCAAGGGATCGTTGGCTCGAGAGGGTGGGCGATGCATGCATGCGGGTAGACACGAGAAGGGGGGGTCCCTGAGTAGAGCACAGAAGCCTTACCAGACGGCCCTTCGCACTCTTCCACGCGTCGACGTGCACAAGGCACGGTGGCGGAGAAGGCTGACGCTGAGGCCTCTGCGGTTGGTGTCGCTGGGAATTTAGTGCTTGTTTGCATCGTTTCTGTTGCCTCAGGGCCGAAGCCTTCGGGGGGGGGGGGAGGTGGCGGCCGTCACCACGGCCGGACGCGTCGAAGAAGTTGTCAGAATGGTTTCCAGGACAAGTCCAGGGCAATCTAGGAGCTTCGCTTGCTGAGGCGCGTGTGAGAAACATCGGACGTGGCCAAGACGAGGATAAGTCCGTTCCAGAGCGTTCCTGGACGAGCTCAGAGCGTTCCAGAACGCTCTGAGAAGGCCGCGGCCCCGAGCCATCCTCCAGAGCCGCGGGATCCTCACCCGATGTTGTGCTCGTCGTGGCCTCGCTCGCGCCTTGGACAAAACAGTACCAGTCGATCGACCCCCAGTGGCGGTCTGACCTGTTACCGTGCTGCGTTTTGCTGCTGGTGTCTGGCGGGCTTTGTCGGATGACGACCGTCCCCTTCTGCCGTCGGCTGCGTGACTTACGCGTTGCTTCCAAACCACATGCCGCGTCATGGTGACAACGCGTCCCGAGAGAAACAGGTCCTGAGGTGTTTCGCCGTTGTCGGGCTCTCTTGGCCCTCCACGGGCCCCGGAACTGTCAGAAAACGAGTCAGGATGAAGATCTCGTCTTGGGGGAAGGCCCTGGGGTCCAGGACCCGTTTGCCTCAGAACTCGTCTCCCCCATGCTGAAAGCGGACGCACTCCTCCTGGTGACATTTGCGAACAGATTCTGACTTTGGTAGGCACCGTGCAGTTCAAGGCGTTGGGCCCGAGGAGGATTTGCAGCTGCCCCTTGGCGTTCGGTACTCTGCATCTGCCAGCCCACCGCCGGCTGACCTCGGTGCCCGAAAACAGTGTCGGCCAGATGTGGTGCCAGACGCCCGCTGCCACGACCCCGTGCGACGACGAGGTGGCCTGCATGCCCATCGGCATGATCTGCTACCCGAAGCTCGGGAGGGAGGCTCCCGGCGGCGGCGCCGACCGCCGCCTCTCATGGCCCAGGGAGGTGGCGAAAGCTGGTGGCCCCGCCGCCTGGAACCGGCGGCCCGAGCTGGCTCCACTGGTGGAGATGCTCGGCGGCATGGCGGATGTCAAGAGCGCGGACGACGCGCTCGCGAGGGTGAGATCGATGATCCAGTTGGACCACCACCTCTGGGCGCACTTGTGGATGAAGGCGCTGCACGCCAAGAGCCTGGACATCTATTACGAGACGATCCTGAGGCAGCCGTCCCTGATGCTGCCGGTCATGTACACGCCAACGGTGGGGGAGGTGTGCCAGAAGTACGGGATGCTGCCCTTCAGCAGGCGCGGTTGCTATCTCTCTGTGGCCGACCGCGGGCGTGCCCGGGAGGTCCTGGACGAATACGCGCGGGCGGAGTTGGAGCATGTCGAGGGGCGGCCGGTCTGCGATTGCATCGTCTTCTCCGATGGGGGCCGGATCCTCGGCTTGGGCGACCTCGGCGCCTGGGGCATGGGCATTCCCGTGGGCAAGCTCGACCTCTACACGGTCTGCGGTGGGGTCAGCCCGCACCGCGTCATTCCGCTCATCATCGACGCGGGCTGCGGTGATTCTTCCAAGAACACGGACAAGCTGGAGATCCGCGAGCACCCCCTGTACACGGGGCTGAAACAGGACCGCAACCTGGAGAAGTCCGCTGCCGGCACGATGGTCAATTCTTGCTACTACGGACAGGGAAACATTATCCAGGAACTCTTCGTGGCGGCCACCGACCTGTTCGGAGACACTTGCCTTTTGCAGTTCGAGGACTTCAACTCCAACGACGCATTCCCGCTCCTCGCCGAGTATCGGGAGAAGTATTTGACTTACAACGACGACATCCAGGGCACCGCGGCAGTAGCCGTTGCTGGTATCATGGGAGCTATTAAGATCAAACATCCCGATTGCGCTGACCTAATCGGCGCGCTGAGGAAGGAGACGTTCCTCTTCTTCGGCGCGGGATCCGCCAACATTGGCGCCGCAAATCTGCTCCTTAACGAGGGCGGAGTTGAGAAACACCGTGTGCTGATCTGCGGTTCCAAGGGCCTCATTTGGGTGTCCCAGGATGGGTCTCAGGGCGTGTTCAAGAACGAGGAGCAGAAGGCCCTTGCGTACAAGGGCAAACCCAAGTTCGCGTGCGGGAGCCTCGTCGACGTGATCCGCGCAGTGAAGCCTACAGTCTTGGTCGGTGCCGTGGGTGTCTCCCCGAACTGTTTCACCAAGGAGGTCGTCGACGGGATGATGAAGAGTGTCGGGAGCGGGGGGCGGCCCATCATTTTTGCTCTCTCGAACCCGAAGTCCCAATCAGAGATCACGGCAGTGGATTGCTATCGATGGTCGAGCGGGGCTGCCATCTTCGGATCTGGGACCCACTTCGATGCTGTCGAGGTCGGGGGGAAGAGGCAATCGCCTGGGCAGGTAAATAACGTGTATATTTTCCCTGGTATGTCCTTCGGCGCCATTTGCTGCCAAGCGAGGACCATCCCAGAAAGGTTCTTTTTAGTGGCCGCAGAGGCAGTGGCGAACAGCCTGAGTCAGCAGGACTTCGACGAGGGCCGAGTAATCCCTCATCGGGACCAAGTGCAGCTTGTGAACCTCAATGTCGCCACCGCCGTGGTACTGGAGGCGCAAAAGATGTCCCTGGCGCGACGGGCGCTTGGCGCAGATGCGGATTCGGTGAGGGCCACGCTGGAGGGGATGATGTGGAAGCCAGGTAACCTCAGCAAGTAGACAGTGCTGGGACAGTTGCATTGTATTTCGTGTTGGGGCAGTTGTGGTACGCAAGCCGAGGCGTGATTGGCTACACGATCGAGCCTGCTCACAACCTGCTTCGGTATAGTAGCTGCGGTTTGAGACTTCTGGTGCGGAGGATTCGTGCTACGCGGCCCTGGATGCAAGACGGGCACAGCGAACATCTGATCACGGGTTTCGCGTTCACGCGTCTGGCTCACAGTGTCGACGTTGCGCGTATGAGGCATTGCGCGTGCGATACGTTTTGCTCTGGCAGCACATAGTGTACCATATTGTCAGGGATAGGCGCGGAGGTGGGCAGGTCACCCCGAGCATAGCGTGCACCCAAGCAGCTCGATTTTGTTCGTGTTTGGATATTGCGAAGGCCTTACGGCCGGTGCCGCCGACCCTGAATGGCGACGACGACGACGACGACGACGACGACGACGACGAGCGCTCTTGGGGGCCTCTCGGGGGTAGTTTGTGGGCCTCTTGGGAAGGTCTTAGGGGCCGCCTGGAAGCCTCGTGGGGGCCTCTTGGGGCTTCCTGGGGGTCTGTTGGAGGGGGCCTGGGACGTCTTGGAGGCTTCTTGGACGGTCTTGGGGCTGTCTTGGGCGTTTGCGGCAGATCTTTGGGCGAGTCGGGGCCCTCTTGGGCAGTCTCGGGGGCCATCTTGGGCATTCGGACCTCATTTGGAGTGTTTTCGAGGTTTCTAGGCCGCCCGAGGAAAAACGAATCTGCCCCCCCACCCCCCCCGGGACCCCCCCGGGACCACCCCTGGGACCCCCCCCCGGGACCCCCCCCGGGACCCCCCCCCCCTCTGGGGAAGGGATCAAAGGGAAGGGGCTTCCCTTCGACTCGATTACGACACTGCTAGATTTTTCTCTCGCTCACGAGCTTGAGAAGGAAGCTGCAGGGAAAGGGGACGACGGAGGCGACGACCGACGGAGACGACGACTCGAACAGCCAAGCCCCTCGCACACGCCGACAGGGTCGGCGGATTTGCAATCACACGTGTTCCTTCATGCCTACCACTGTTCTGCCCTGTCCAGTGTTCCGTAGGTGCTGAATTTTCTTCTTTCGATTTTCATTCGCGTACAAAAGTCGTAGGACGCTAAACATGGTAGGTCCGCGTCGTGTCGACCGGCGGCGACCTTGCCGCCGGCGTTCAACGTTGAACGCCGCCGGCGACCCAGAATCGGTCGATGTTGAGCGATCTAACGTTTGGGAAACGGCCTATCATTCAAATTTGAACGAGCCAGCGCGGTGTCAGAAACCAACGCCAGGGTCGGCACAACACAAACCTACCATATACACATTCATCGATCCTTGCTGGCTTGATCGTTGGCCCCAGGTCGGTGTGTGTGGGCTTTCCTGGCCAAGCAGGGAGGTCCTAGACACCAATCCTGTGCTCAGGATGAGCCTGGATCGGCGTACAGTCGGACCGAGGCATAAGATCAAGGTCGGTTCGGGGAGGGTACCCTCACGTTCTCGTGTTTGTTGGGTGTTATTGTGCATCGTGGGGGAGGGTACCCTCGACTGCTCTTCATGTTGGCTGGCGGAGGTTCTCATGTTCTTGAGGGAGGTTCTTTTGGCCTAGGTCCGACCGCGGGTGTGTCGCTTGGCGTCCTCCTGAGGAGCCCGTCCAAACATCTGCTATGGGTGTCTGTTAGTTTTTTGTTCCAGCACCCAGCCTTGACAGTGAAGACAGGCATGCTCCTCAAAGCAGGTACGCAACGGACGGCCGAAGGGCCGTTGCCCGCTCGTCTCGGCGCGCGGACCAAAAAGTACAACGTTTTGTTGTCCGTCGTTATCTAGCGGGATTGGTCCAAGAGACTTGCCCCATTCCGCCGACCCTCAGAAGAGGGTGTGGGGTGTGTGCGGCATCCCATCTTGGGGCCTAGTTGGGCCGTCGCCTGGCCTTGTTGGGGGTTTCTTGGTTCGTCTTAGGCCTCTTGCGCTGTTTTGGCTTGCAGACACTCACCGAGGCGAGAACGCGAAAGTCATTGAAGAACCACTGCAAAACGAGATTTGCCACTTGAGGCCTCCTGGGTGTCCTCTTGGGGCCTGTTCTGCATCCTGGGCCGCCTGGAGATTATCCTTGGCGTTCTGAGGCCTCTCTGGCGTGTGTAGAGGCCTTCTGGAGCCATCCAAGAAAGCATCTTGGGCATCTCAGCGGCCACGGAGGGCTGATTTTGAGGCGCCGAGGGCCCTGGAGGCGCGTGGGAAGGGCAAAGGCGAGAGGTATCGAGCGCTTGTCCGCGGCCGCTTGGGTTCAAGCGACCGTCCGCCAATTTGACCGGGTCGCATCGCTTCCCGCTATCTAACATCGAGACAGAAAAGGTCCCACCCTTTATTCTTGAGATGTTCCTTCGCCGCTCACGCGGCCATCTCCTACCTTTGGCACCATCGCTGAATACGATACAACACGATTGGACGCATACTACGCCTAAGGCGTAGTATCTAGTTGGGTTTCCGAGTTGGCTTTAAACTTGGTAGCGGAGCTGGCCGTTGGTGGTCAGGTCTAGTTCTACTCCTTGCTATTCACGGCAGTAGCTGGTGGACTACTGATACGGTGGACCATCACGGCGCAGTGGTCTACGCGGAGGAGACCATGGCCATCGCAAGGACATTTGCATTCAAGCTTCTGCTCGCGCAAAGGTCTCCTAACCAAACCCTGCATTTCTGCGCGACTACACTCCGGAAGTCCACCCGCCAACGCCAATGTGCAATTATTTCGAAGATGCCATGCGTGGTAGCATGCTTTATGATATTGCGACGCCTGCACCTCCTCGCGAACTGATGGCAACGTCACCCCACAAACGCATGCCACCTACAACCGACACCGACCTACGAGGCCACTGGATTGGCATCGCTGTGTTTGGCTTCCTCTGAGTCGCCATCGGATGTGGTGTTGGACATATGCATCGCGGTGCAGACGACACGCGCACTACCAGCCCCCATTGGGACCCTGCCGGTAATTGCCCTTTTTCCGCGAATTCGCTCGCGAGATACATGCCTGGATCACAGTGGCCACAGGCAGTATGACTCCCTCCCAACAGGCCGCTGCTCTGCAGCGTGGCCTTGGAGGTCTGGCAAGGACCATTGCCAGTAGATTAGAGCCCCCCCAGGAGTAATCAACTTTGGAGCGAGCATTGGTGGACATCACACCGACGGGGCCAGCTCTAGAATGTTCCTCCTCCGCACTAAATTCGAAAATCTTGAAGATGAGCGATAGTTGAATTCGGTGACGGCTCCATGCGGGAAAATGGATCGATCAGGCGTTGGCGCGTTTCGAGATTGCACGTTTTGAAGCCGACCGCGCGGGGTTCAACATCACAAATTTCCAAATCCTGGCAGTCATATTGTTCAGGGCCCTAGGTGTCGGCGCTTCGCGTGCGCCACAACTGTTACAACCACTGAAACACTAAATGCCAAGGACTCAGCAACAAGTCGACTCCTTACTGGAGCGCACGAGGGCTCACGCCCACATCGCCGAAAGAACCCTCGGTATCATTGGTGGTGCGTTTAACCGCGGCAACCGCACTGATGTGTTTCATAGTGACACTTACGCGGGGCGCCCTGCCAGCACCATCTGGGAGGACGATTCACAACCAAACGAGGCCACCACTTCGTTAAGCCAACAAGGTGGCCAGCCCTTGGGGCCGCAAGACTCCCAGGCTCAAAATCAGAGACCGTCTGCAACGGTGGCCCCTACCCAGGCCAGTAGTGGGCTCGGCGGGGCAACCCGCAGAGTCCAACTTTGACTCAGGCACCGATGCCGACGCTCCGTCTGATGAAGGACTTGGCAACCTATACTTTTCGCATATGCCTGCGCACCTCGCCGAGGAACAAAAAGCAAAATGGATATTCCTGGACCACCAGAAACGCAAGCGTCGACGGGGGCGCTTTATGAAAGTGCCAGTTCGAAAGGCGCGACTTGCGGCCTGACGCGCGCATTTAGGTCAAAGGGTAAAGGTAGAGGCAGAGGTAGACGACGACGGCTGCACGGTTGAGGCATGCCAGCCATCATTATTGGCCCCCCTTGCGGGACCACAGCATGAGGGGATCTTCCTGGGGAAGGGTGGGGGCCGCAAGCGCGCCGCAGGAAAAAACAATTTTTTAAAAAAGAGAGAGAGAGAGAGAGAGAGAGAGAGAGAGAGAGAGAGAGAGAGAGAGAGAGAGAGAGAGAGAGAGAGAGAGAGAGAGAGAGAGAGAGAGAGAGAGAGAGAGAGAGAGAGAGAGAGAGAGAGAGAGAGAGAGAGAGAGAGAGAGAGAGAGAGACGAGAGAGAGAGAGAGAGAGAGAGAGAGAGAGAGAGAGAGAGAGAGAGAGAGAGAGAGAGAGAGAGAGAGAGAGAAGAGAGAGAGAGAGAGAGAGAGAGAGAGAGAGAGAGAGAGAGAGAGAGAGAGAGAGAGAGAGAGAGAGAGAGAGAGAGAGAGAGAGAGAGAGAGAGAGAGAGAGAGAGAGAGAGGCGCGGGGCGACGGGGCAACCCGAAGGACGCCAACGGGGAATCCATGGCGCGCGGCATCTGCCACAGCGCCCAGCTTTTCTGTCGCGAGCGCCCCCGAGGCGACAGGAGAGGCATGGGCCCGTCGATGCATTTGGCGCGAACCGACTCCGAGATTCAGCATGTCGATGTCGAAACATTTTCTGCCGAATCAGAAGGTGACCCCACTGCCGCTGCCCATTTAACGTCTGCGAGATGCATGAGCGCCGGCTTGCCCTTCGAGAGGTGCGCCGAGGAGCTCCGCGAGGAGGCGCGCGTTGGTCGCGACGAGATCGATCCCGCAGATTGGCCGGGCATCCCGATCGCGGGGCAACTTGCACATGTGAAGATCATCGAGGAGTGCCAGTCATCCGCCGACTCGGACTTCGAGGTGGCGGGGGCACCTGCGCACTCCGACGGATATAGGCCGGATAGCTCTGATGACGACGCGATGCCGGCCGCGGAAGAGGAGCTAGAATTGGCGCTCCGACCGCAGACGATCGGAAATCCCACATGCAGGGCAATTTGCTATGATGGCCCTTCGCGGGGTAACTAACCTGCGTGGTGCCAGTGACTTTTCTGAGCGGGTCCAGTGTGAACTCGGACAGAATGAAGGCTTTCACAGTACCTCCGTACTACACGACCGCGCATCGAGCCGCAAGGTTTCGAGACAGACGCGTAGAGCGGGCTGAAGATGGCGATGGGGAGTGGGCAGCTGAGAGCAACCCGCCATGCCATCATCGGCGGGGTCATCATCGCAGGCACTCGCGCGCCCGCTCAAGCGGCGCGCAGCGCCCGCTCCCGCGAGATCGCGCCGCCAAGAAGGGCATGGTCGCGGGGCAACCTGCTTCAGGACGACGAAGGTTCAGATGAGCCTGAAGGCCAGCTTCGACCCAGGGAAGTTGGCGAACAGAACGACGGCATTGTTCGCCAACAGGCACCGCGCGAATTAGGATGATTCAAGGATCCTGTAGGGAAGGAAATTTATTCGCCAGTGAGGTTTTTAACCGGAAATTCAAAAGTTATGATTTTCTATTGTTTATTCAGATTTTACATTGTTTATTTGGTTTTTAATTGGAAATTCATTTTTAAAAAATTTATTCCATTTATTAATTAATAACTTGAATTTATGTGTTTTTTTCTTGCTTGTTTTTGTTCAAAGTATCTGGGATTATGAGTGTATCGGGCCCCTCTCCCCCTCCCTCCTCCCATCCTTGCGGCCGCTCTCCGCAGGTCAATTCCGGCGCATCTCTCGCACGCTCCGTGGCCCCATAATGAGGGAGCTCCGGTGAAGGTCCCAGTGGCAGTGGCAGGGTCCACCAGCGCCCAGGGACGGAGGAGGGGGAGGAGGAGGAGGAGGAAGAGGAGAAGGAGGAGGACGAGGAGGAGGAGTAGGAAGGGGGGGGGGAGGAGGGGGGAGGAGGAGGAGGAGGAGGAGGAGGGAGGAGGAGGAGGAGGAGGAGGAGGGGAGGAGGAGGAGGAGGAGGAGGAGGAGGGGGAGGAGGAGGAGGACGGGGAGGAGGAGGAGGAGGAGGAGGCGGAGGAGGAGGAGGAGGGGGAGGAGGAGGAGGAGGAGGACGAGGAGGAGGGGGGGGAGGGGGAGGAGGAAGACGAGGAGGAGGAGGAGGAGGAGGAGAGGGAAGAAGAGGAAGAGGAGGAAAAGGAACACGGGAAAAGGGGGAAGAGGCGTCATGCATGCGTTCTCGCTCCTTGCTGCTGCGCTGGTTCGAGCAGCGAGCACGTGTTGCCGCGCTGCGCGTTCGCAGCTCCCGTTGCCGCTGCCCCTGGCAGACGCCATGGCCTGGGGTGGTTGGTGGAGCGGGGCGTGGTCTTCCGACGGCGACTGGCGGTCCTCCGCCTGGGCCTCCGACAGCGGTTGGCGGAGCGCCTGGCGGTGGCCCTCCGCCTCGAGCAGCAGGGCCGCTGCCGCGGAGGCGGAGGCGGAGGCGCACGCCGCGGCTCCATGGCGCGACGAGGGGGGGGGCCATGGTGCAGCCGAGCGCGCCGGCCCCTCCCAGAGCGTTCCGCCGTGGGAAGCCAAGGGTTTCGCTTCGGCGAGGCACAAGCGGGGCGGCAAGAATCGGGAGAGCAAGGTGAATCGGCATAGTTTGCAAATCGGGCCCGCCATGTTCCTGTCACGCCCTTCTCTCTCCTTCATGTCCCCCCCCCGCCGACTCGCAGGTGAAGTGGCGGCTGAAGCACTGGTTCGGGGGCGTGCGCCAGGGGCTCCCAGAGCAGCCGGGCCCGCCGCTGCCAGAGGAGCCGCCCACGCCTGGACCGTCCGAGGCCGAGCAGTCCATGGAGCTGGAGCTGGCGAGCCGCGCGCCGCCGCGCGCGGAGGAGCAGGGGCGGTTTCCCATCGCTGGCCGAGCACTGC